GCGCTCCAGCCCATCTTACCCAGTATCACCGAGCTGATGGTTGCTATGAGAATCCAGTTCCTCTTCAACAAGCCCTTCACATCCCTGCCTCTCCGCTCTTTCTTCCCCAGCATATCCATGACAGGCAGGCACACAGGCTATATGGAGAGGCGAGTGAACGTGGCGAGGCGTTTGGTCGCGGAGCGCCGGTGGAGAATGATGTGGAGCTGCTGTTGGGAGGGGGATGTGATCTGCTGCTGCTTCTGTCTGTGCCACAGTCTCTTGGCTCTCTTGATAACCTTTGATCGCTCGTTTATTGCAACTGGGCCTCTGATTTACCGTCATTTCGTCTCATAGGACTATACAAATATTAGAATTTAGAAAGCACGACATATCACTGACATGTGTGCTGAGGTTGCTATAACATAATCTATATTGGTAGTATATTGTTAATATAAACATCAAATGCTTTCACTCAGTAGTTAAACATTAAACATCTTTTATGTGTAGCCTAAGTAACATAATGTTTGGTCAGATTAACAATTAACACTTGTTGATTAAGAGGGAAAGCACGTTCACACATTTGCTTTCTCAAATAGCATAGCTTTTTGACAATAATTGTCTTTCTGTGACTTTTAGTCTGTTATCATCGTGGGGGAGGGTGTTCAGCTCCTATTTAAATGCTGTAATGTTTGTTTTATGGCACACTTTGAATTCTAAATGTGTCTGTAAAGATATTAGACTACTAAAAATAAACGTACATTTTCCCCCCAGGCAAAATACATACATGCGGGGATGGGCAGTATTACTATTTTGTATTTAAATAATCGAATGTAGGCTATTTTGCATTTGAATTAGTGCTGTCAAAAATTTAAGGGGGTCTGAATACTTTCCGTACCCACTGTATATATATATACGTTTATATATTTAATATATTTATATATTATATAATTTCTAAGAATATAAATATATACACGTAAGTACATGTACATATTTTCAAAACATATGCTGCCTTTATATACATAATAAATATACACAGTACACAAATATATTATGTAAACAAAAACTTTTCTTTTGGATGCGATTAATCGCGATTAATCGTTTGACAGCACTCATTCAAATGCATGGAATCTTAGTATTTTTGTATTTTCAAAATACATAAAATACTTTTTGCCAATCAACCTCTTTCCTGCAGGCAGTATTTCAGATACATGTGTTTGAAATACTATTTTGTATTTAAATACCTTTGGAAAAAGTCAAATGTATGTTGTACTATTTAAATACATTTAATCTTAGTATTTTTGTATACTTGTTGATACAGAAAATCAGCAGTCTAATAAAGAGGTTGATTGACAAAACATATTTTATGTATTTTGAAAATACAAAAATACTAAGATTAAATGTATTTAAATAGAAAATAGTATTTTGTATTTCAAATACATGTATTTGAAATACTGCCCATGCATGCATATACATACATGCATACATTTTATGTATTATTTGTATTGAATGCGCACTTGTGTACTTCAAATCGTAGAAGCAGGCTACTTTTTAAAAAATACTGTACTTGCAGATAATATAATATCAGTGTACTTTCATGACTATGTTTCTGAACACACTTTTTAAAAATGCACTTTGTAATGTCAAATTAAAAGGTTTACTTTAACGTACATTTTTAAGTCATTATGTTTTAATAATCTTTTGTAATAAAGAAATGCACTTATTTTGATAGTTGACTATCATGCACAACACATACTTTTTACTGTACTGCTTTATCCTGCTTAAGTGGGTGGGAAAAGCACTCTATTGCACATGTAAATGTATATTATCCTACTACTTGTTTCACTTCTGTTTCAGTTTTTATAACCATTTCTTACTATGTGTAAGTAAGTTGTTGTTTTTTTAACGTGTGTTTGGCAGTGTTATTTTTTTAGGATTACTGATAAACTATTGTCGTTTGATTTGTATTATTTGTATTTGTTATTTATTTTAATTTTAGTTCAGTTATGTCTGAATGTATTATGTCTGTATAGGTCTTTTATTAAATTTTTAGTTTGATTTAATTTGAGTTATTTTAATACTTCAACAAACTAAATGGAAATGAAATAATATATGTATATATGTATAAATGTATAAATGTGTATGTACATATACAGTATATAAGTATGTGTGTGTGGTTGTACATACACATATATGTAGTTGTTTTTTTGGTGTTTGGCTTAGTGTTATGTTAGAATCATTATTATACTCTTATACCTTTTGTTCTTTAATACTTTGAATTGTTTTTAGCTTTATTTTTAGTTTTTCATTTAAATGTTAAGTTTTGAAATTTTGTTGTATGCATTTGTCATTTTTATTTAATTTCTTTATTTTTAAAATGTGTATAAGTATTATTATTACATTTGTATCTTTTAGTTTTGGATCTGTTTTTAGTTGTTTTAATACTACAATTGATTTCTTCTGTCCTCATTTGTAAGTCGCTTTGGATAAAAGCGTCTGCTAAATGACTAAATAAATGTGAATGTATAAATGTTAATATAAATGTGAACATTATAACATTATAAACATTTAACATTGTAAATGTTTTAACGTATATTATTTTAATTATAAATACTGTTTTTTAAAGTTATGCTAAAGTGTACTTCTTTTTTTTAACAAGCGTATGTAAAGATTAGATATTAGTTTCTTCAAGCAAAGGTGCAAACACACACACACACACACACACACACACC